AATGGGCCTTACTATTAAAAATCACACAAGAAAATCTTTAAGTTATGTTTCATGAGATAAATACTTCACTTTCAGACTTTTTAAATACAGGTTGAGTAATCCTAATCTGAAAATGAGAAATCCAAAACTGAACACCAGCAAAATGCCATAAATACAATGTTCAACATCTGATGAATTGTAATCTGATGAGTTGTAATCAGAATTGCAGGGTAAGGCAGGAAGATTCCAATTCAATTGTCATTTAGCAAGACCTTGTCTCAAAGTAAAATAAAAAGGGCTGAAGATGTAGCTCAGTAGCAGAGTGCTTGCCGAGTGTGTTTGAGACCTGGAGCCATTCCTCAGTACACAGTAAACACAAATACTAAAAAGTCTGTATGCAAGCACCTTCAGGCTATGAGATGTATATGAAACATGACCTATGTTATGTTTAGGCTTGAGTCCTAGTCCCAAGGCAGTCCATTGTGTGTAAATCCTAAAATTTGAAGTCCTGGTCCCCTAAGCATTTCTCATAAGGAATTCTGAGTATGTGGAAAGCTGTTAGTGAACAAGCTCTTCTCTGTCATCAGCATTAAAGAGGAGGAAGGTTGAATAGTTTGGACTGAGAGTTGAAAGGCCTGTGTTCTAGTCCTGTTTTACATTAAATTCACCCAACTGTTCCTTCAAGTTCAACCTTTTGTTACTCAGATTTCTCTCTAGCCTGTCATCAAACACTTTCAACTAACCTGCTCATCTTTTAGGGTTCCAACTCATTATTGGTGTTACATTTTCTATAAGTAGAATATCATACAAACGTACCTTTGCTGATGATTACTAACCATATACTCATGAATGTCACTGCCCAGCACGGTATCTAGTGATACATTTAAATTTATTAACAGTAAATAAGGAGGCCTACATGGTAAGCATAGAAAGTTTGGGGCAAGCCTGGCCTATGTAGCAAAGACCTTGTCTCAAAAAAAGTGTATGTGTATAAATACATGTATATATAATTATATTTAAATTGTAGAATTATAATTGTAGAATTGTAGAATTATAATTGTAGAATTCTTTAATCTCAGCAGCCATAATTCAGGTGATCGGTGTGTGGCCAGTGGTCATTATATGGCTATGGCAACCACATACAACAGGTATGGACTTTCTGTTGTTACATAAAAACTCTATTGGTCAGTGTTGAGCTAGAAACTTAATCATTGAGTGCTCATATGTATCTCTGGGATTCAGCTTGCACAAATGATTTGGAGTCCGGGTCAGGCTGCCAATGGATGGAACAGCATTTAGTTAACATCCTTTCCTCACTGATTACAAGGCCGCCTTTGTCATTTAGGCCTTTTTCTTGGTCATGTATTGTTTCATTGTTGTGTTTCTGTGTTCTTGCACTAATGCCACACTATCTCCATTACTTTGTTGTTGATGTTTTTGGAAAAAGGATCTCACTACCTAGTTTAGACTGCCCTTGAACTTTCAGTGTAGCCCAAGCTGACCTCAAACTACAGCCATCCTCCTGCCTCAGATTCCTGAGTGCTGGGATTACAAGTGTGCACCACCATTCCCAGCTCTGTTTCTTTGCTTTAAGCATGGTTATACTCTATCACTGGAAAAGGAAAGAAGGGAAATTTGGTTAGGTATTTGTGTACACAAATGTTTGTATCTGTGTACATAAATGTATTTGTGGATTGTATCTGTATTTGAAAATGTGTGGCATTGTTTTCATGTATGTGCTTTTAGTGAATGTAAAGTATGTCTTGTGTCTTACTGTGTATGAGCCCTGCTTTCTACTAAGAACTGTTTTTGAAATCCTATTTTGCAAATGCAGTCCAGCTACTTCATTTCCTCGAAAATGAGACCGCATTTTTATATTTTTGCTTTAAGACAAGCAACAGAGCTTAGTTTCAGGGGCAGTCTTATATATAAAAACCTACATTTATTCAGATACAATCATGTCAGCTTCTCCTGAAAGATCGTAGTAACTCGCAAGCCCCAAATTGTGGCCTGAATTTCTTGTGACTCCCATTTCCTGTGGAACTATTGGCCCCACTTTTGTCTAGCAATAGAACTCTCCTTAAACGAGAGTAAGGAGAGTAAGTCTGCTTGAAGTGCTTTGGCACAGTTGTGATTTTATGTTGTGAATCCTTCACACAAGTCATGAGTTTTTGTAGGCTGGGCATTAAATCAAGTGTTGATTAAACAGGAGTGGCAACAAAAATGAGGACAGTTAATGACGAGCCACACAAAAACAGTGAAAAGCTGAAGGCACCAAATTCAGAAAATGTTATCTCAGCATGAGTGCGTTAAGTCCATCTGTTACAACACACAGTATGTTGCGTTACGAAGGTGCATACTAGGTGCAGGCGAGAGCGTCCATTGCCAAGTGTGCCTATTACCCGTGCATTTTGTGCATGTGCCGATTGGCCACTTAGCGCTAAGTTTTGAATTCATTTTGTTTTACATAGGTGTTTACCTCTCATCCAGATGTGCCTGCTTGGGCACCTACAAATACAATTTATCATTTAAGTATTAATGTCAGCATTTAAAGATATTTAGTTATATGTTAGTGTCATTTTATAATTCATTTCATCTGCTGTGTGTTGCAAAGGACATAACTAAATGTTTGTCTGGCTGAGGATCTTAACTGGGGTGTATTTGGGGTAGAGCTTACATTGTGAGCATCCTGAAGAATCATGCCAGTTCTTCCTTTCAGGGAAACCTGGCACCCATTTCTTCTAGTTTCTGCATCATATTGTGCTCATTAGATGAACTCCCACTACCTTTACCATGCCATCTTTCAGTCATCCTTTTGGCTCTTGCTGTTCATTAAGAAATGTATTGGATGTCTGTTTTGTGGGAGATGCTATTACAGGTGTTGAGAATAAGTCACACCTGAATTTCATGTACACATAGAGTACATGGTGAAGAAAATAAATTCTCATAGTGATTCTACAGGCAGTGATTCTAAGATGGGGAGGCTAAAGGCTCTTAAGAGAAAACCCAAATGTGAGGCACTTGAGAATGTACTCTTAATTCCTGAAACATAGTTTTTAAACCAAAGCTGGGGAGTTCTTTGGTGCGCCCTCATTTGAATGGCACAGTGCTGATGTGAAAAGATGTCTCTTTCCTTGCCGACTTGTTCACACTAGTCGGTCCATGCAGAGAACTTTGCCAGTATTGTCCTTTCAGTCTGCACCCTCTGGCCAGGTAGAAGGCCTGCCAGGTGAGGGTGCTCTCTGCAGCTGGCTTGCTGTTGGCTACTGCTGGTGGGTGTCTGTTATATTTTACTGCTGCTGTTATCCTTGCCATTACTCTGTCCTGCAGGTATCTTAAAATTTAATGTTTCAGGAAAAGAGAGGCGAATGCATATAGGCATTTTCTAGCCACAATTTTCTGCTATTACGAGGTATTTTTTTCCCGTTACAAAGAGCTGGTGCTTCTTATAGTCCATCACATAATAGATATGTATAGACCCATGGTGGTGTTCTTGATTATGAGTATTAAATAAAGCTCAGTGTTTAAAACAGCAGTCATATTAAAAGTTGAATTGCTGGCTAGGTAGGGTGGTGCACACCTGTAATTCCAGCACTTGACAAGCTGAAGCAAGAGGATTGCTGTAAGTTCGAGGCCAGTCTGGGCTACAAAGTGAGTTCAAGGCCAGTCTGAACTGCATAGAAAAAAAGAAAAGAAAAAAAGTTGAATTGCTGTTTAGTGTATTTTTTTACTATATCACTAAACCTTGTGAGACTGAGCGAATAATTTTAGGTGGAAAATGTTCTCTAAAGTGATGTGAATATACATATTTAATGGATTGGGTCGTTTAACTTGGTGTTTAACTTGGTGTGAATATGGTAACAAGACCAAGGCTGTGTATTTACCGCCCTGCGTAGCACCAAGGTGTGGATTATGTTCTGCGTTCTGCTTGGCTCCCTTGACGTCAGCGAAATCACTTGTAATTGATAACCTTGACCAGAGGTTCAGCTATAACGACATCTGTAAATGTGCAGTCTAGGTCATCAAGCTACTGAGAAAAACAATCTAAAAACTGTGCCTCTGGTACAATTTAATGAGATTTTCTTTCTATTAGTAATAGGCAGTACTTCACTTGGTAACTCATTTCTACTTAAAATAGTTGTGTGTTAGTAATATCCAGTTATGTTTTTTAAAAGTATTTTCCCATTGATGATTGTTTGAACAAGACTTATTAAAAAGTCTTATTAAAAGACTTATTAAAAACATTAAAGTTTGATGATTTTTTTTATCATGTGATTGGTTGAAAGAAGAAATTATAAACCTGGCTGTAATTTTCAGGCTTGCTGAGGAATATTAACTGAGGTTTATATTGTCTTTACCAATTTAAATTGCAATTTTCAAACTGGTAATAAGTGAAATAAATCAGTGTGTGTAAGAAACTCATAAGGCTGATTTAAGAATAAAAAGAAGGTGGGAGAAAGGGTCACATTATGGGGTAAAACTGAGTATGTAATTAATCTATAGCAAAGTTTAATAGTGGTCTTGAGGTGGATAGTAAAGTTCAAATGAGATCATTGCTTTTAGAGAGCCATAAGAGTTTTTCAGTAGTGAAATAATTGGAAGACAGCCATCAGAAAGGAAAAGGAGGACAAAAACATTATATTAAATAGTAAATTGGGAATTGATTCCCTAATATGTACAAAAATGGTATGCATCAGCCAGCTGTTTCTGAGCAAGCTTTTTTTCAGATGAACTCCCTATTATGGATGTTCAGATTTAAAATCAGTGTGACTGTACTGATCAGTATTCAGTAGTAATTAGTAATCAAGTTGATCCTTAAGGGATCTACTGTTTTACTGTTAAATGAAACCTTTTCTTCTAAGCTTTCATATTCCCTGAAGGCTTTTCAATATAGAGCATGAAATGTAATTAAGATAGAGCTGTCCATTGGGCTCTTTAGAACTTGTAGAATTTATTGAAATTACCTATGTGATTATTTTGAAATATTTCTCATGGTCTACTTATTTTTGTTTCCATTTTAGAACAAAATTCAGTCTCATAGCAGAGGAGAATACAATGTTTACAGCACCTTCCAGAGCCATGAACCAGAATTTGACTACTTGAAAAGTTTAGAAATAGAAGAAAAGATCAACAAAATTAGGTGGTTACCCCAGAAAAATGCTGCTCAGTTTTTGTTGTCTACCAATGGTAAGTGTACATCTTTTCTTCCCATGTGCCCCTGTGTGCACATACTCAGTAGATGCTACTTCCGTTTCCAAGAGGAATATCATAGAAAGATTTATGTGAAGAAAAATGTTTATAAATTTTTATTTCCTATACTAAATGTAAACCCTCCTTCTTTCCTTTTTTTCTTGTTTACTTGAAGTTTTTAGATCCTCTGAAAGATTGCCTGGCACTAATTTTTGTTTATTCCATGTCTAGTTGGTATTGAAAAGAACACTGTTGGACTTGAACATCAGTTCTGTGTTTGCTGCTTCTCAGCTTAGTAGCCTAGGGCAGGTTCCTAGAATTTTCTTTATCATCAAGTTGGAGATAACGTTTATATAATGGTATTATGAAATCTTAAATGTGTTAATTCTTCTAGATTAGTGTGAATGCTTGATAAACGTTAATTTCCTTTTCCTTTCCAAGTATCTCCAACTGTAACGTAAAGTGCTCTTTCAAAGGGGAGGGGGTACATCCAGGTGTTCTCTAGGCGAGCGTTGTTCTCATTTGATTTCATGGCCCGCTGCCTTCCCCATGGCTGCGTGGCCAGATGACTCTTTCATAGTGCTGTACTTGGCCAGGGAAGTTATGAGTCTGCTGCAGTATAAGACCCTTTTATCAATTGGGGAATTTCTTTCTGGTTATCTAATGTTTTTCCCCTAAATTCTTACTTGATTTACCCTAGGGTTCTTGGGTCTACAGAGAATCATTAGAGTGATTGTAGCAGCAAAAGGTGCTTTAGGATCTGGATAGCATAGTGTATAAAAATTTAGATTAAAACTTTTGAGGATGGCACAGGGTTAGGAGAAACCTTTCACTTTTATCATCTTCTCAGTTAGTGGGAAAACTAATTGTAACACTTAGATCTTACCATTTTCAGAATGTAAGCTGGTACATCTCTTGGCCTACCTACTACATTGAATTCTTGGTAATGCAGGTCTCAGAATATTGCCTGATCTGTAACTTGAAGCATCATGGTGAATGTACTGTGTTGCAACTTGTCATATGTTGGCTTACCATCTTAGTTCAGCTATAATGTCTAAGATAAACTAAGTTAATTAAAATAGCACTCATGCCAGGTGTGATGTTGTACATCTGTAAACCTAGCAGTCAGGAAGATGAGGCAGGTGGTTCACCCATGAGTTTAGGGCTGGCCTGGGCTACATAGTGAGTTCAAGGCCAGTGTGAACACAGCTGAATACACAGTAAGACTGTTTATGTAACTCTTAGTATTAGAAATTAGTTCCCAGGAAAGTTTGTTGCACATTTCCTATTTCAGACTATTTGCTTCTAATAATTATGACAGTGTCTTGGTTACTTTTCTCTCCTTGCTGAGACAAAATACCTGGCACCCAAAATTAGGGAAGAAAAGGTTTATTTAGCTTTCAGGTTTTGGAGGTTTCAGTCCATAATTAGCTGACTCCAAGGCAGGATGGCATGGTACCAGGGCAGCGCTTGAAAGCAGCAGCCAGAGCAAAAAGGAGAAAACAAGCCTCTTTTCCACCCGTATCTTGTACATAGGCCACCAGCCTCCCTCCAGGGGGGTGTAGCACTCACAAAAATCTCCCTGCCCTCTTTTGCACAGGATAAGGATATTCACAAAGTAAGAATCCTGGCTCACTACTGAGTCTCTCATTTAAACTTCTGAACTTCTCAAATTTACACAATGTATCAACCACGCAGTGCATTTTTTATAAGCTAAATCATCTTATAAGCTAAACCTGTTATAAAGAAAGTTTTAGATATGAGCCAAAGTGGAGAGAACAGTGTAATGAAGCCCCAGTGGGCTTCACCCAGGCTCAGCAGCTCTGGTTGTGGCCAGTTCGTTTTTCAGGACTTTTCCTTCCTTCCCCTCTTCTTTGGTATTCTTGGGAAGCAAGTTCTATTATAATCAGGGCTGAATTAAGTCTTAGCTGTCTTTCACTTCTTTTCATATCCACATGTATCTTCCTCAGAGGCTTCATCGTGCTGCCTTTGCAACACAGAGCCAGCAGATGAGTCTTTGTCATACTGCAGAGGTTCGACGGAAACGGAGCCATTGGGTGTCCAGTGGCCGGGCCAAGGCTTGTGAATCCACGTAGGGAACCAGCAGTGTCTCCTAAATATGTCTGTGAAATGCATATATTTGAAAAATCTTTGGCTAGCATTACAAATTATTTAAAGGCTCTGTAGAATAGTTGTTCATTTTTGTTATTTGTTGTTAGTGAATTGTAAGTCAGACACAAGTAACAGGAGATTGCATTGTGTTTTGTAGGCTGAAAATAGTTTTAACAAGTAGGGTCAAGTGTGCAAGATTTAAAACAGGTTTGGGCACTTGATCATCTTTTGTGCCTGCGCAGGATGAAATGAGGAGGGGCGGCAGGGCCAGGGTCTGAGTGGCCTCAGAAAGTATTGATTAAAAGAACAGAAAGTTGCTGGGCAAGGCAGAAGGATTCCCAAGTTCAGGCTTAGTCTGAGCAATGTTTTGAGACTCTGCTCTCCAAAAGTAAAAAAGGCTATGCTCTACGATTTAATCTCCAGTACCACCAAAAAAGAAAAATAAGATAGCAATTAGGGGGAAATGTTAACATTTATTAGATATGGCTAACTTCTTTACTTCATGTACTTTTTTCTGTGAAATATAGCATACTAACATCTCTGCAGTAAGTCTTTATACTCAAAATTAAGAAGCTACTACATCAGAAAATGTCATTTCATTTAGTAATAGCTTGTTGATAGGTGGGTTTTGAATCTCATTACTAGCTGCATTTCATCTAAACAAACTTGTCAGCAGGAGTACAGGCACTTGGTCATTAAGGCAGGCACTTAGGGAAACATGGAAAAGCTCTTGAGAATCTAATAATCCTCTCTAGGAAAGTGTCTGTGTGTACATAGTCCTGAATGTGTTTTTATGGTATTTGATCATTCATTGTTGCCTACCATCTCGTATGGCCCAGACATTCTGGTTTTTTTTGTATATCATATATTAGTCACTTGCCTTGCCTGAAGTCTTGTGCTTACATCATGCATTTATTCTAATATTGCTGTATCCTGTTTGTTACTGAAAAAACAGTTCTAAACATCTTAAATTTTACTTTGGATCACATTAAAAACTTTTTTCTTTTTTTGGGTCAGGGTGGTTAGTTTATTTCAGAGGGTTTTTATCCTGTAATATATAATAAGGGCCATAAACTAACTGCATCCGTTCTGAAAATTTGATGAGTATCCTGTGATTTCTCTATTTGGATGTTTAATAAGGAGTATGATTTTAAATGGGTTACAAGACAACTTTGGGGAGAGGAGTATGGTTGTCATTCTCATTATCTGGAGATGATTCTGGATACTATACTTGATCTTGGGCAAAAGGTAGAGAAGCAATGATGATTTCAGAACAAATACTCACTTTCAGAATTTAGACAAGGCTCACTTATCTGTCTTTGGTACATAAATGTATACACAGGGATGTGTAACTTAGCTGCAAGGGAATTATAAACAAGAGTACATAGAATATAGAAACAGTATTTGAGTTACTAACATTAGCAGTTTTATGTTTACACTTCATCTTTGAGAAGAGCATCAAGTGTTCTAAACAAGGCAGATAGAGATTATGAAGCTGGAGAATCTCTAGAAGTTGTGTCACAGAGCTCTGATAAAACGAGTTTATTCCTTTTTGTTTTTGTATCAGGGATTGAACTCAAGACCTCATGTGTGCCAAGCAGGCACTTATGCTGCTGAGCTAAACTCTGGTCCACATCATTCAATTTTTGCTGTACCCATTTGCTATGAAAGATGATTAGGGATGTGATAATCATAAAGTTTTTATAACAAAATACAAATGAACATTCATGAGTTCACAGCAATTATTTATTTATTTATTTATTGTCCTTTTTTCCTTTTTATTGGTACCGGGGATCGAACTCACGACTGCCTGCTTGCAAGGCAGGCGCTTATGCCTGCTGAGCTAAATCCCCAGCCCCCACAGCAATTATTCTAAGTAATATGTGAATAGATTCTCTTCCTTACAGAGAGTATAACTTTTTAAGTGCAAGCTGGATGTGGTGACTCACTTCTAAATAGTAGAATATGGTAAGGGGGAAGTAACTTTACACACTAGAAAAGACTGGCAGCATCAACTTCTCCAAGTGACTGAAGTCGGTACCACAACCTTATCATACTGGTGTTACGTATTCCCCTTAATGATGCAGTGAGAGGTCACTTCATCTTTGCACTTTTCCCAGAAACCCACAACCCCAGTTGAATTGTGAGAAACAGCAGACACATCCAATGAGGGGCATTCTAAAAAGGGACCTGTCCATCATTACTCAAACTGTCCAGATGTAGAAAAATGAGGGAATGTCTAAGAAACTGTTGAAGTAGAAGCTAGGGAGGCTTGATGATTTAATTACTATGGTGTTAGGATCCTGAAACAAAAAAGAATGTCATTTATTTAAAAAAAAAAAAAGAACACTTGGTCTTAAGTGGGAAACAAGAATCTTAGTGTCTGCTGTCCATCTGTTGTGATATACGTTAATTTCTTAGTTTTGGTCAATGTACCATGGCTGCCTACGATACTGGTGTTTGAGGAAACCAGATAAAGAGACTAGAACACTGCTCTGTTTGCAGATTTTCTGCATGTTTGAATTTAATTCCAGAATAAAAGATTTTTTTAAAAAAAGATAACTACTACATACATTCTTGAGATACAGGAACATTGTCTTTGTACAGGAGTTAGGCACTTGTATTTCAGCAACCAGTTTTCTTTAGGCCCAGTTTCCTACTCTGCAGTCCCTGACACAAGAAGGGAGGAAAAGCCAGTTTTAAGTGGAGAAATCCAGTGCAAAGGAAGCTGTGGAGTCATTGGTAGGAACTGCTAAAAAGTGGACCAAAGGAGCTATGTGTTACCATTTTGATTCTACACATTAGGCAGTATTAACCAAGTTCACTGCTCTTCTCTTTACCCTTATAAATTAAAAACAGGGCACATATGTGAACATATTTGTGTCCAGTCATGTTAATGTCTGTTTCTATACATACATACACAATTTTACACTGTAGCTTTAATTTTAAAGAATAGAGCTGGGTGTGACTTGAGTATCACATGGAATTTTATGTGAGCACCTTTTCATGTATAAATTTGTTGTTTCTGTACTATGTGTCTACCTGTACATGTTCATGCTTTTATTCATATTGTAGATTTTTTATTAGATATATTAAAACTTTCAGATGAAATATGAAATGGCATATTTAAGTTGTCTTAAATGGATTTTCTGTCAGTATTATCTTTTTAAAAAGAGCTCTTTTTATTACCTCCCTAGATAAAACAATAAAATTATGGAAAATCAGTGAAAGGGACAAAAGACCAGAAGGGTATAACTTGAAAGAAGAGGATGGGAGGTATAGAGATCCTACTACAGTTACTACACTACGAGTAAGTACTTAAGAAAAAAAGGATTCTGATGAATAGGGTTTTTTTTTTTTTTAAAGTAGGATTTTATATTCATACCATGTAGCCTAGATGCTGCGAACTTACATAGCAGTAATTACAGTCAAGGTGTCCTATTGCCATCCTAGAAACTGAATTTATATAGTTGTCTTACTATGACCTGAGGCAGACCAAGACAAAAACACAAGACTGTTTATGCTATATCACTGTTCTTTGGCTTTCCTGGTTGAATTGTCAGCTGTTAATAGCAAGATTAAGCTTCAAATTTTTCTTTGCAGATCAAAAAAAAAAAAAAAAAAAAAAAAAAGAACAAAAGGGCTGGAGACCTGGCTTAATGCAGAGACACCCTAGGTTCACTCCCCAATACTGCAGGGGCAAAAAGGCAATAGGAAGTACTTTTTGGTTATAGTTTAAAAGTACTTAGAAATACGTTACACAGTAGTTTCTTTTTTTCGGGGGGTACTGGAGATCAAACTCATGACTGAGTGCTTGGCAGCCAGGTTCCTTATGCCACAGAGCTAAATTCCCAGCCCCTGTAGATTCATTCATTTGAACCTTAAAAATTTATTAGTCTGCCCAGGTATGGTGGCGAATGCCTGTAATCCCAGCACCCTGGAGGCTGAAGAGGCAGGAGGATCATTGCAAGTTCAAGGCCAGCCTAGGCTACAAAGCACAACCCTACCCCACATCTCCCCCAAAATTTATTAGCCTCGAACATCTTTTAAGTAAAGACTAAAACTAAGAAGTGTGAATTCTAGTAGTATTGCTTCCAGTAAACCAAGATAAATTGTCAGAAAAAATTCTTGCTTCATCCCACTTTAGCATTTTTAAAATTAAGGATCAATATCATTTGCTTTTAAAATCTAGATGTGTATTCTACTATAGAAAAATGAAGTATTCTGACCATTAACTGCTGTGTGAAACAGTGAGCCCTTTGCAAATTGTTTTTGTGTTTGACAGGTGCCAGTCTTCAGGCCCATGGACTTAATGGTGGAGGCCAGTCCGCGAAGAATATTTGCCAATGCTCATACATACCACATCAACTCCATCTCTATTAATAGTGACTATGAAACTTATTTATCTGCAGACGATTTACGGATTAATCTTTGGCACTTGGAAATTACAGACAGGAGTTTTAGTATCCATTTGGTTTTCTTTTTCTTTTTGATGTTTGACAAAGAAAGTATATTGTGTCTATATTGAATTTATTTTCTTCTTTTAGTGCACTTGGTTCATTCCTTTTATAAGTGTCTTAATATATGTGGCGTCTTATTTTTTCCTTTGTATATAAGTGACTAAACACTAGAGGAAGTTACTTTATAAAAATAAATGATGCATTGATTTCAGAATTCAGTTCATAGAATTGTAAGGAAAATAGGAATTTTTATTTTTATTTTGTAATTTGATTTTCTGTAAAAACTCAAAAGTCTGAAGAAAGTATACTTGATTTTAATTATAGATTTCTATCAACATTGGGAAAATGAGTATACAAGTTGTGATCCTTGATGGTGTCTCCAATTCTAATGTTTATTGTTCATATTAGCCCCCTAAGACTTGTTCACATGTTTAAGTAGGTAATGGAAATATTTGTACCCGTGCACACTGATACATATATAAAGATTTATATATATATCTTTATTTTAACTTCCTAATTTTTGTTCATTTTGTTATTGAGATAGAGTCTAAGTAGTTCATGTTGGCCTTGAACTCACTGTGTAGCTCACACTGGCCTTGAACTTGATGATTTCCTGCCTCAGTGATTTCCTGAGTGCTGGGATTACAGGCGTGTGCCACTGTGTCTGGCAATATATTTAAAAGTATGTGTTAGAAATTCTTGATAAGTGGTCGCAGCCAACTATTGTTAACACATTATTCAAATAGCTATCATTTCAAAATTTAACAAGGCTTTATCCTAATTCATACTTTACCAACAGCATATATGAGAGCATCCTTTCTTGTACCTTTACCAGTCTGCTTAGTGGAATTTTTTTTGCTTTGAGTTTCTTTCATTCTGAGTAGACTTGGGTATCTTTTTGTGTTCATCAGCCAACTGTATTTCTTTTTATTTTTTCCAAGTTTTTGGGTTTATTTGCTATTTAAGTGCCCTTTTTGTGTTAAGTAAATTTAGCTCTGTGTGGTTAAGCTCTTTCATTCTTTTGAGATGTGTTTGTTTTGGAATTCTCTTTAATATTTATGAAGGCAGATATATTGATCTTTATGGCTTCTGGGATTTGTATCATAATTAGACCTCTGTGTGCTAAAATTAGCCCATGCTTTCTTCTGAGATCTAGTTTCTTATTTTAATACTTCTGAATTTATACTGATCAAAAAGTGGAATGCAATTCAGAATTACTGGTTGTTTTTAAGTCTATGAATGAATTCTAGGTTTGAGAAATAGGGAATTGTATTTGCCTTTTATGAAAATGAAATTCCTTAATAAATGCTGCCTAGATATCGTGGATATCAAACCTGCCAATATGGAAGAGCTCACAGAAGTGATCACAGCTGCAGAATTCCATCCCAATAGCTGTAACACCTTTGTCTACAGCAGCAGTAAAGGAACCATTCGGCTCTGTGACATGAGGGCATCTGCCCTCTGTGATAGGCATTCTAAACGTAAGTCTAGGGCTGGGGATATGGCTCAGTGGTAGAGTGCTTGCCTAACGTGCCTGAAGCCCCTGGTTTCTGTCCCCAGTACCACAAGTAAATGAATGCATGGATGAATGTAAGTCTCTTGTATATTGTTTTGAATTGTCTGAAACTAGCATCAGAAACGTACTCAGGGCCTCCTGTACTCTTTGGGGCTCCTGACTCTGAGGCAGTCCCAATTCTGGAAACATAGGTAGCAGCAGGGTACTTTCGGGGCTTATTCTTTGATACCCAGAGAGCATGTATTTTTAGTATTCTGATCTTACGTTCAAGTAGACCAGTTCTTTGTCCCCTTCCTCATTGCTGTTTTCTGTTTTGATCTTCCTAGGAAAACGTATTCAGAGCTGTTTTCCCAGCTTAAACATAAGTTTGAAAACTGCTAGGTTGTGGGCTGGTGGCATAGTTTAGTGATAGAGCACACAGTGTGTGTGGTTCCCCCAGCACAACCAAAAATAAGTAAATAATGGAAAAAGTCAAAGGATTGCAATACTTTCTAGCTATTGAATATATTTGAAACTTGGAAACAGGTACAGACTCCGCTGTCATGTTAAATTTAGCTGGCCACTGGGAAAAAATCCTAGTATGAATTTGGATGAGTGAGAACGGTATGTTTCTCACAGAGATGATGCAGGCAAATTGGTCAGGAATGTTGCAGAATATAACAAACTGGTACAAGGAAATCAAAAGGCCAGATGCTAAATTAAGTATGTAACTCTGGAAGTGTACTGTGTGTTTTATCTTCCACAGTAACTAGTTTTTTTTTTTAGAAACTTTCAAGAAGACTCATTATAGTCTTATATAGCCAAACAAGTGGTTCTCAGTGCTTTATTACCCTGTGGTTTTTACCTTGCTGCTAGGAAGTTTGTGAATGGCTGTTTATGATTTATCCAAACCAGACAATTGGTACACCCTGCCCTTCTGTTTCTCTTTTTGCTTGTTTTTAGTGTTTGAAGAACCTGAAGACCCCAGTAACAGGTCATTTTTTTCCGAAATCATCTCCTCTATTTCTGATGTAAAATTCAGCCATAGTGGTCGCTATATGATGACTAGAGATTATTTGTCAGTCAAAATTTGGGATTTAAATATGGAAAACAGGCCTGTGGAAACATACCAGGTATTTGTAGTTCTTTCTTGAATGAGCATGTATCCTGTATACTTTCAGGTGTTTAAAGAGGATTTTTATACAAGGTGTTAATCCTAGTAGAGTTTGTTCACCACTAGGATTGTTCCCTGAGGTCCATGAGCTGTCTCCTTCCTATATGCTCAATGTGTATGCCTACATATGTGGTTGTGTTAAGTTCAGTTTTATAAAGTGCAATTTTGTAACTAATTTTAGTGTGTAGTTTAAAGGAGCACACTGAGAGAGGGTTGGGTCAGGAAGAGGACCAGTGGAAACAGCTGGTGGTAGTTGGGGTCCACTGGGCTGGAAAATGTGTAGTGGTACTTGATCAAGAGCTTAAGCTTCACGTGCTGACTTAGGTGAATTTGAATTCCATGGTTTGGCTTGAAACTGTTTTAAGCTAAAGCAGAGGCATTTGAAAGCTCACCAGTTGGCTGTAGGAGCTGCCTATTGGCTGTAAGATATTGGTCAGTTTGAGATTCTGTGTCAACTGGGTACTACCTTTGTTCCTTGTCTGTCACATCAGACAGAAGAGGTTGAAGTGTCCCGCCCAGTATAGGGTAAGGGATAGGAGAAACTTGATAGAAAACATGTAGCACCGTATCTTAGTTCTCTCACTGCTGAGACAAAATACCCAACTGCTGCAAGTTAGAGGAGGAAAGGTTTGGGCTGGGAGGGTTAGCTCAGTGGTACAAGCGCCTGCCTGGCAAGCGCAAGATCATGAGTTCAATCTCTGGCACCAAAAAAAAAAAAAAAAAAGGAAAGGTTCAACTCACAGTCTGTAATGGCTCCAAAGCAGGGTGGTGTGACAGAGGGACATCACAAAGAAGATACAGCAGCAGTTCATGGCGTGGAAAACAGGAGCCAAGAAAAGCAGCAGGCAGCAGCAACAGCAGGAGTAGCCTGCCGCCTTCCCTCCCTTCCAGGCTCCCCACCTTTTGGGTGTCCTCCAGTTATCCACACCCAGAATTGTGCTGGACCAGTCCGTGGACTATTGTGATCACACACCTTTGATCCCAGCACTATACACTTAACCCAGCATCACACAGGCACCTAGATCCAGCTGCCTCCAGAAAGCTCCACCTGTGACTATGAGGTTTTAGGGGGACTTTTAGTTATAGGCCATAATACACTGCCTTAGGGCTAGAGATTGTAAGGGATACCTTCTTTATGTTAATAGATTCCTGATAAAATTGAAACAAAGGTTTTAAAATGTAAATCTTTTTGACAGATGTAAGCCGCTTAAGATTCTCTTTAATGGTATTATAAATTTTAAAATGCAGTAAACACTATGTTGAAACAAAGATGATGAACTGTTTTGTTTTCAAAGTATATTTTGCTGCAGCTAATAGTTAACTCGTCATTCCATTGAGATTTTCTGATTTGAACTTTAGATTCCTGCTCCACATTGTTTTGTGAGAACCATTAGCCCTCTGTACTGTAACTTTATGTGTATTGTGAAATGTTACTGAGTTTGAGTAATTTGCTTGATATGTTACTACTTTGTTGACTTCTATGGTGAATTAGATTAATGACTGAGAATAGTCTCAGGTGTGAATGTAGCTCATAGATTCAGCCATTTTTGTTGAATTTGTAGTCATCTTGCTGACTCGTATGTGATCAAAGGGGGTTTTCTGATCTGTTTTTCTCATTACTTGCTGACATGATCTTTTATGCCACAAGTTGCATTGCTTTGCACGTCATGTTGATATGCTTGAGTCATTGGACTATGTTTAAAGTAAAATGGAGTAATGTCTTGAAGTAACGACAGGTTGTTTCCTGAAGAATTCTAATTGAGAAGTTACCATCACTTCATTTTAAGGTTCTCTTTGCATAAAAAAGGGAGAGCTGATAGATGCTACTTTTTCTGTCATTGCAATAAATACTTTGAAATTCTGCTTTGTACTTCAGCAGTATCAATATTGAAATGTTTTCATTTCTGAGACTTTTTGCATACCAGATTTACTTTCTTAGCGTATCACTTTTGTGAAATTTTATAGATAGTTCAAAATGTTTTCACTAGCTTTTGACAGTATACAGTGATATGAAGTGATAAAATCAAATTTCTAAACCAGGCAGCCATTAGAGTTTGGCACAGACCAGAGCATCGCAGTGTGCATGGGATGTGCAGCCTACTGAGTCAGAAGGGTAGGCCTACGGCAGACTCATGTCCTGAACATGCCGTTTGGAAGCTGTTTCTGAGCAGAATGGATTGAAACCACAGAGCAATAACCAAATACTGCTACAGTGTTCTTTCCTTAGTCTCTCACCTGTTATCCTCAAAAACTTTTTGGCCTAAATATGATGGTTGGGCTCATCTGGGTAAAAAAGTGCTGTGCCCAAAAGACACTGTTGCTAAGACAATTGAGATTTACCCTGTTCAAAAGGTGTGTTATCATATACATAATGCTTTTTTTTGAGCTATGGGCATATTAATCATTTTCCTGATTTAACTAATGCAAAAAAAAATGTATCTGTTTTTCCTAGGTGCATGAATACCTCAGAAGTAAACTTTGTTCACTGTATGAAAATGACTGCATATTTGACAAATTTGAATGTTGTTGGAATGGATCCGACAGGTAATTTATTTTAATTTGTATTCCTAAATATGAATTTTATTAGGTAATAGAAACTTGTTTCATGCCTCCTGTTATGGTTGCCACATTATTGAAGAAAGTGGCTGGAACTGTTTAGGTTTTACAGTCCTAAGTACAATTATCCAAGGAGTTCTCAGAATAAATGCAGTGATCATAGAGTATGGCAGTAGTGACAGGCAGAAACTAAGCTGCTTATTCACTGGTAAATACGACACAAAACATCTACAGCAGAAAATATAGATAACCTAAATATTTACTTACTTAAATACCTTAAAATGTTCCCCTTTTAACATTGGCACACCTGGGCACATCTGTAGTCCCACACGCTTGAGAGACAGAGGCAGGAGGGTCATTTGAACAGGAGAGATTAAGGCAGTGTAGCAAGACTGTTTCCAAACAGAGAAAAACAGGGCTGGGGATATAGCTCAGTGGCACAGTGTCTGAATGGCAAATGTAAAGTTATGAGTTCAACTCCCAGTGCCGAAAGAAAAGAAAAATAAAAAACAGACAGTGATCCAGAAAAGAAAAATATTTAAAAGCCTTGTTTCTCACATGGCCAATATTTAATTAAAATGGTGATTCTTTATTGTGCCTTAAAATATGTACTGTATGTGTTGCCAAAGTGAGCACCTTTAAAATACTTAGGCAATAGAGTGTTTGGATTTGTATGTACCAATTTCTCTATATATTGCATTAATACTTCACAGAAGTAGAAACATATATTAACAGTATTATAGGTGAGTATCCTTTTAATAAAGTTTTCTAGCAGCATGTACAGTTCCCTTATACAGTTTCATCAAAATGTATAGGATTCTTTCCAGTGATAAATAAGCTTTACTTTCAGTTGTCAATATTTACCACTTACTAATGATCCAGTTAAAGGAAAATATAACTTTGAAATTATTTTAACTTGCATTGAAAATAATTAGAGATATTTTAGCAATAATTTTACAAGTGTGATATTCTGGTCTCGCAATAATTAGGTGTTACAGAGGGTAACAGAACTTGGAATTTTTATCTTTTGTCTAGTTTGCAAATTATGTAATTCTCTGATTTAACATGAGGCCCAATAGGAGTTGATCACCCTAAAGCAGAGGCCTGTTCTTAGGGGCAATCACATGGTGTCCTAGATGACTGCCAGTAAAGCCGTTGCATTCGAAGAGGAGAGACAGCATGGACATATGATGTGCACTGCTGCAGCTAGTTCTGCCTTGTGTTTCTGGCAGTGTTACCTCCTTCAGCAGTAAAACATTTCTGGAATAACTTTAGACTTACAGGCAATGTGATAGAGTAGCACAAAGAACTCTTTTCTAGCTTTTATTCAGGTTCCCTCATTGCTGTTCGCTGTATCCCGGCTTTCCTGACCTTGTTTATATAGCTTGTACCTGTCTACATAAAATCTGTGCATGTGGACACATACAAACTTTTTAAAATTATGTCTCACTTGGGAGTAAACACCATACATGGTCACTGTTACCCCTAAATTGTTTACTGTCTCCTAACATGAAAGTACTGTCCTACAGACGATAGTGTAGGCATCTAAAGCAGAAATAGGTGCACTGATGCAGTGCTGCTATTCAGCCCACCTTGTTAAAACCCCACCACTCATCACTAGAGCAAAGAAGAAAACTGTGGTCCAGGGCCCAGTCCAAGGTCCTCTGCAGCACGTATTTGTCTCATCTTTGTTGTTGCCTTTATTCTGGAACAGTTCTTTATTCTTTCCTTGTCCTTTATGGCCTAGACATTTAAAAAAAAAACAACACAGATCAGTTATTGTATAGAATGTTTCTTAATTCAACTTTTGTCTGATATATTCTCATGCTTAAGAGTCAGGTTATAGATTTTTGTCAGGAATGCCACAAAAATGCTGACCTAATGATTATCTGTCTGTGTATTTATCATTTATTTTTGGAGACCAGCCATGAATTTGCTTATGTGGCCTAGGCTGGCCTCAAACTCACAACAGTCCTCTGGCTTCAACCTTTGGAGTGCTGGGATTACAGGTAGTCAACACCACACCTGGCCAATAATCTTTTTAGAAGTACAAATACCTAAAGAGTAGATAATATGGGAATGCTGATTCAATTTACAGAACTCATTTAAAAAGAAATAGTTCCATTATTTTCAGGGATATGTACCAACTGGAATTTGATTAAAATTTTTGTCAAGTATCCTATGGGGAAATTGACATTACTGAATAGATGATAATCCTTTGTAGGTAACAGGTGAAGCATTACTTTGAACAATTTCCTAGTATCTTATAATTTCACTTATAATAATAACTTGAACCATGTGGCAAAGAAGTGGTAAACAGTAATGCACCAGACCCTTTCCAAATTTGTGAAGTTTTGCCTTTGAGAATGCTTAGTGAGTGTTGGAACAGTGACATGTGACAAATGAATTGGCAGCATGTCCTGGGCCCAGGCACAGTGAAAGTCCCCTGCAGCCCTAGGTGCCTGGCAGGTTGAGGCAGAAGGTAGGTAAGTTCCCTACCAGTCTTTAGAGTGGAGGGAAGCCCAGACCCTCCCATCCCCACCAATACCACGTGTCTTGAACAGGCTAGGAATTTGGTTCTTGGGTGCTTTTGAGAAAGTATTTGTTAAATACTCATTAATGTAATAAATAAGACGTGTAAACATCGTATTTTCATTAGTGTGACAAAATGAAATGTGTATGCATAAAAACATGTATATGTACATAAAAAAAGTTAAGGTGGTTATACTACTGATTTCTCTAAGTTCACTGAAGAGAAAGATTTGTGCTAGTATTGTTCTGACAATTGAAGGCAGCTGTCTTGTGCTCTGGGTGAATGATTTGGGAATGACAATGTGCAATGTATTACCATTGATACCCTTGATTGATACACTTTAAAATTTTTAGTTTTTTCCTTTTCTTTCTATGTTTGAATGAAATGGATTTGAAAAAAAAAAGTTCGCCGAAGTTTTAAAAAAAGTATTAAGATTTTTTTATGGTAAAATGCCTATAGGTAAAATGCCTATCAGTAAACATGTTATATACTTTTTAAACCTCAGTAGTCTATAAACTATGTGAACCAGACTGCTTTGGTATAAGCTTCGTAGCTCAGTTTGTAATTTACATGATAAAATAAAGCATTAGTTTGCTGTAGGACATTTCATGCATTGTAGTAGGGGTTTAGAATGTGAATTCATTTACACATAAATAAACTAATCTAGTTGACCACATAGCCTGTAATTGCAAAAGTGTTCAACAAAATAACTAGCACTAGAAGTTTTTTACTTGATGCTGTTGACTTTGCTGTTTTAGTGGTCATAGAACCAAATTTAACTAGTATACAACTAGGTTTATTACAGGGCTGGGGTTGGCATCAGTAGCCCCATCTCTTAAGGTTGGTATCTCTTAAGTCAAAGCTGCTTGAAGTAGTTGTCTTCATACAGAGTCCTAGGCAAGTTTCAGTCTCCAAACCATTTTGCTATCTTGTGTTGCTGTGTTTGACTGAGTATTCTGTTTTTACAGTGTTGTCATGACTGGATCTTACAATAATTTCTTCAGAATGTTCGACAGGAACACAAAGCGAGATATAACCCTAGAAGCATCACGAGAAAATAATAAGCCTCGCACGGTTTTGAAGCCACGTAAAGTTTGTGCAAGCGGCAAGCGAAAGAAAGATGAAATAAGTGTTGACAGCTTAGATTTCAACAAGAAAATCCTTCATACGGCCTGGCACCCCAAGGAAAATATCATTGCTGTAGCTACTACAAACAATCTGTATATATTTCAAGACAAAGTGAATTAGGGTTGGCATTCCTATCAGAAGAACCCACTTCCTGCTTAGTTGAGATAGTTGAATCTAGCATTCGTACCTATAAAAGAGAGAGGTCCATTGTGGCACCCTTTCCAGTGTTTGACAGTGTGCCATTCGACAACACATGTTTATAGCTACATGGAGAAGGCTCTGGATTCCTCCCCGGTGTTCTCCATGTCTGCTAGCCATTTAGGTAAGGGTAGGGCACTTTTAATTTAAATGACTTCTTGCACCATCTTGCCTAATGGACTAGATTGGACTGTGTCAACATTGATTTACTCCACTTTTTATGCCTTCCATTGTGATGACGTCAAACACAGTGAACGCCTTCAGTCATGCTATGGGATTTAATTGTGTATCCTCATTACTGTATCATTTGTGGGGTACACCCCTTCCCCTTTTTTAAATTAAATACAGCTCATTCTTACTGTGGCTTGTAGCATTCCTCCTCTCTGGCCTCCTGGACTGTCTCCCTCAACTCTCTTACCCTTGCCCCTTCCACCCAGTCTCGGTGGTGGTGTATAGAACGAAAGCACACAAAATGAAAATTGGGGTCAGTGGTAAAGGGGGTATATGTTGCGAACAAATGTTTAATAACAGATGACTGTAATCACTCCTTGCCATGTCTGGCAATGAAACTAAGGAAAAAAACTACTACTGAATAAAAGTGACAAAGAATGGAGCATCTGGTTTTCTTTTTCTTTTTAATCTACCTCTTTAAGCCAATATTTTGTCATACCCTTGGGTGCAGTGAAATGAAATGGGTTTCTATTGTTTTATTGGTGTGTTTTGTTATTTTTTAACAAATGTTCTTTTTCATGGAGAAGGAGAGGTATTGGTTCTATGTGAACATGTTCTGAGTATATGCTGGTATTAAGGATTTCATGGTCTATAAATGCTACTAGATTTTTTTTACTGTAGTTGGGAGTATTGGATACATTGTATCTATACTTTAACTCATCTGTTAATGAAATTATTGTAAATGAGAACTTAATTTGTAGAACTTCATTTTAAAGACTTTTTATAGTGTTTAATTTTATTTTTGCCTTACTGAATACTAAGTGAAAGACTTAAAATGTTTTTAACAAATTAAAATTTTTTTGTCATTCAGTCATATAAGAGGAGAAAACTAACATCTAGTAATTTCATAGATACAATTAACACTACACTAAATGTTTTATATTTTATCAAGTCAATCAAAATGAAATGTAATTTGCCATAGATATTTTTGTTTTTTTTTTCCAAAGCCTATATTAAAGACAAACCTTTAAAGATACAGTGTGCAAAAAGTGCTTAATGGACTCCAACTGCTGCCTCAAAGATCTAGAACTATAAACGACTGCATTTTCCTTACGTGGTGATACCCAAAGATGAAGAGGAACCCTGGTTTTAATAGTGGGATGCACATTTGTCGGTGCTGCAGAAGCTTTAATGGAGAAAGAGATGGACTTTATTTTTAGAAGATGAAAGCCTTGAGCGGGCCTTTATATTACAAAGAATGGTAGTATATTTTGGTTGAGCACTAATATAACAACCTTGAATATAGAGGACTCTTGAGTGCTTATAGTCCCACAATAATTTCAGCATAATTTCCTCCATTATACAAATTATGTCTTGTAAGTTAAGTTTTAGCACACAAATTTTATGTAATAAAATTACTGTATCTTTTGCATATGAGTTTGTAAACACATTGATTACATGTCTGATAATTCTTAATGGCACTTTGACTAATTTATTTGGGGATCTTGCATGCATTTGTAATGTTATTCACACTTTACTTGCAAGTGGGATATTTATCAGAAGTATCAATGGTTTTCTGTTCTCTGATTCGACAGCTTTACAGAAGATATTTTGGGGAGATGGTTTCCTTACACTTTGCTTTGTGTTTCTTGAGGTGTGGTACCAGCAAACAACTCTGGGAAATTCTTTTTTGATTTGTCAGTAGCTATGATAATTCTCATCCATGACACTGAGTTAATTTCAGATATGGAAGATAAACGTAACTGCTAAAATTAAAAACACCTCTATCAAGGAATGCTATGATAAATTACTGTAAATTTTAACTCAGGTATCCTTTAATTTCTTTGGTGTAGCAAACTATAAGCCCAGCCACTCATTTTATATGGTCATCATTAATTTGTATTAATAAAAACTATAGAATAAACTTAGTCTTGTCAAGTTGCTTGTATTTCCTGAACTCTTGCCACTATACACACATTCTGTTAATTTCTGATCTGTGTGGCTGGGCGATAAGAATAGTTAATTATAAATTATGTGAATGCGCTCATATAACAACTAGGTGGTAAATTTCTTTGAACTCTGGTCTTCTGGAGTAAAATCATGCACCTTTTTTCTTTAAAAATCATGGGTTTTTTTTTTTTAAACCTTATATGAGAGTTAATTCTAGTTAGAGAAAACTAAAAACATTAACCTGAAAGATTTTCAGGTAACTTTCCATAAGAATAATGTGTAATTGTACTGACAAAAAGCAATTTTAGCGATATTAACCCAAAAGTTTTTCGGGTAACTTTCTGTAAGAATAACGCGTAATTGTACTGAAAAAGCGACTTTAATTAGTTTGGGGGTATTAAATGTCTTTTTCTACCACACATAAATTTAGATGGTGATAGTAATGTGCCCTTTAGGAAGTCTAGTGCTGCTTTTGTTCCCAAGAAAAAATGATATGCTATGTCATCAATTAGTTTTTTTGTGTGTCTGAGAGCATCACTTTTTGTGGTATCTTAGGTGTGTGTGCGTGGATGAAATTTTTTGCACATCCCTAGAAATCTTTGAAAACATCCTGCTTTATTTTACAATTAATCCATAGGAATTAAGTTATAATTAGATGAGTGGTACTGCACTACTTAGAACTCTCACCTCAGAGGCTTAATATTAACAGAAAGAGTCCTTCCCTACTGTTGTCAGGGCTTGTAAGGAAAATTTTAATACAGGATGCATAACATAGTATTAGTCACCCAAAGAAATACAAGAAAGGGCAGGGAATCTGTCTGTACACTAGAGACCTAAAGAATCCATATGAGGGCCTGGATCCCACAGCAGCGTCCTGCATGAGTCCAGCTGAAGACCTAGAGCCCATAACCGTGTCTCAATGCAAGTCTGTTTCACTGGCCGCTCTGGGAAGACCCGAAGGTCAGCGGTGGCAGGTAGAAAGTCTGCTAGTGGGATGAAGGATCTGTGCCAGCAGGCTGAGGGATCTGCCCTGGATCCAGGAAGTGATGGTCAAAGTAAGGTCCAGAGCTTTCCTAGAAAGTAACCACAGCCATCCTCAGTGACAAGGGCCCAAGCACCTCCTACTATGAGAACAGCTGCTTTTGTGCCAGGAAGCCAGAGTGACAAGCTTCTCCAGGAGATTGAACAGCACATCATCTTCCCTCTGGAGCCAGGAAGTGAGGCTCAAAAGAAGGACCAGAGCACCCCCAAAGTGAGCCATCGCCATTTTCGGTGACGATGTCCCGAGCTTCTCTGACAACAATCAAGTTTATACCTTGGGCAGCCAGCTCAAACACTACTACTCCAGGTCTCCTTTTCATGCTGTTGGCAACAGTCCTTCAGTGGGCTGTCGCACTGGGCACCACGCTGATTCAGTTCAGCTGAATGTTAGAAGTTGCCACCATTTATCAGCCCACCACACCCACCTAGCACAGTGCCTATCAGAAGGCACTACAAAGCTTGTTTTTACAGGCGTTCTTAAAGCATTTGGCAAATGATACTTGGCTCAGAGATGGAGTGCCTGCATGCACAAGATCCTGGGTTCAGTCCCTAGCACTACCCTAAAACTGGCATAGAGGAAAAGCTGGTACTACTTTAGCTGCATTTTTAGAATTTTCTGTGTAAGCTCCTAGCTAGTGAATAGCAACAAGTTGTACAACTTTCCCACTAGGGGGCAATGATCAAGTCTGGAATACTTCAGTTAAGTATTTTTAAACAGGAAGTTTTTGTATACTAGAAGAGCCTTATTACTCAAAACCAAATTTGGGACCAAATGAAAGCTAAATCCAAGGTATTTTTATATGTCTAAGGCCACAATGTGCCATGACCTAAAAGTAAGTATGTGAAGACCTAGTGCTGGAGTGAAAACCCAAATGCCAACTGCAGGGCCTGGTGTGGTGGTGTCGCCTTACTGGAGCCGGGCAAGATGAAGATGGAAGATGGTTCTGAGCTGCCTTTTTATCTGTGGACAATTTTGTGCAGCCTTTGCCAAACCAGAAGCTATGTGCAATTTGTTTCCTACGTGAAGCCGGCAGGAATTTAATGTTGTACATTTGCTGACTTAGCTGTAATATCTCAGGTTCCTTTTGATAAATAATATTCTGCAAACATGCTCTTTGGACAGTGTTTTGGGTTTCTTTTTTAAGAAGGAGAATACCCCACCAATAGTAACAGGCAACTCTTATTTATATTTTTTATGTATTTTATTTTCTGTCCTGGAGGCTTATTGCTTTTTAAAGAAAAGTGGCTCAATATTTCTCTGCTTCACATAGCTTGAGCAGTTTCCCTTATAAGTTACTCTCATAAGCAAAATGTTCCTAGGTAGCCTGGTCTCAGTTGTTTTGCATACCCCACCCATTGTTAACTTTTGTTTTCATTTTTCCAAGTAGGAATATTGAGATATATAACACATCTACCAGTCTAGGTGTGTAAAATGATTGACTCATTCCTAGAGATATAATCACATTGCTAAAGGATATAGCTATATTTAGAACCTGGTGCATACTGGAAATTTTCCCTTTCATTTTGGTTTAAAGTTTGTGTTTCTAGCATGACCCTATTTTTTGTTATCTGGACACAAGACTTAGCAGAAGTGCTTTATAAATATTTTCTCTCAATCAAGTTTTTTTTCCCTTTCAGCAGAGCCTTTTGAAATGCAGTAGTAGTTAATTCTCATACAGTTTTTTGCCTAATTAACTTACGGTTAATTTTTTGCAAATTGCGTAGTTTTCAGTTTTCACATACAGACCTACAATCCACCTGACTTTTATGTAGGGGATATTTATAAAAATTACATACTGTATACCATAAGTATGTAGACCGACTCATTTTTCACACTTATGTTGAAATCAGTTGATTTCGGAGCTATTCCACTAATGTACGTGTGCACTTTTATCAGTACATTATCTTATATTTTGTGTAAGACTGGAAGTCTGATAGTGTAAATACTATAGTATGACTCCTTTTCAAGTTTATCCTGCTAGTTTAGTTTCTTTGACTTTACCTTATTGACTTCAAAAGCAAAACAAAACAAACCTTGGATTTTGATGATGATTGAATCTGTAGTTCAGGGAAAGAGGACATCTTGGTATTTGCCAAAGCATAAATAAAACCTATTGCTCCATTTATTAAGTCTTTGCTGCTTTTACTATTATTTTCAGTTTTTAACACACGAATCTTGTACATATTTTGCTAGTTTCACAGGATCCTGGTTTGCTCTTGTAGTAGTGCTTTTTAAATCTCAGTTTGATTCATTGATAATACGGAGAAATGTGGTTCATTTTTGTGCATTGGCCTTGAACCTGTCATCTTGCCAATTTAGCTTTTGTAATTTTTTAAAAAAATTTTCTTTACAGATGAACTTTTCTTCTGCAGATTATTATGTTTGTTTCATTTTCTCCCCATCTTCCTCTCTAGTGCCTTTCCTTTTCCTGTCCGTGCACTGGACTGACC